TAAAAATATAGGAAGGAATTATGGAAAACTAGATCATGAACAAAATAACTCTTTTAGATTTCAGTTCAGGAAGTTGCTTGAGGGTAAATTAAACTGAATTATTCACCTGGGGTTTTGGTGTCTTAATTTCAGAAATTGTTAATGAAAATAATACCAACTATATATTTTACTTCTGCTGAAATTATTAAATAGGCTGCCCTCATAGATACTTGGACTTTTCCAAGAGAACTGGTCCAATTACTTTAGAGTTTACAGGCCTGAAAATACATTTTGAAAGACTGACACATGAAAATGAAAAGCAATCCTCATCCTCAATAGCTTAGTTACTTGTAATTCATATTAAATGCAAAGGGAAATTCATGTAGCCTTTATGATGTTTAAATGAAGTTGTAAATGGATAAGCCTAAAATTCAGTCCATTGAGGGACTGTAAGAATATGCACGAATGAAGAGATACTGAACTTTCTTATGGAAACCTTAATGCTGAAAAGCATAAAACATTTCCTTAGAAGACTGAAATGCCTCTTAATCTGTAAAGAAACCTGACCTGTGTGAGAACTAGTTACAGAAGCTGAAGTTAACAGTGCTTTCTCTGGCTTTAAAGATTTGTATTTATATTCAATTAACTAAAAGCTAGGTGAACACTATCACCCTAGATTGTTCCACCAATGATATTTATCACATGAGTGCAACAGGAAACACCTGGGCTGTTTGCCTTCCTTAGGAGTGCATGACTGTGTTGGAAGCAGCAGGATGTTTAAATGGTAGAAATTTGGGAAAGACTTTTTGTTTATACTAAAATAGATAGTTGAGTTAATTATGAAATGGGACTGCTGATTTTTAGATGCTTCCACCAAATGCCAGTTTCTCCTTAGGTTTTTAAGCATCTTGGAAGAACTATGCCAATTTCTCCTTATGCTTTAAGGAGCTTGGAAGAAATATCCAATGGTAGCTCTTAAAAGTTAAAATACTGCTGAAAGTTTTCCTCATAAAAGTCATCATGCATCATGAACTGCCAGTTTTCCGCTAATTTCATGGCCATGACTTCAGAAGTCCCAAAACCCACTAGGCAGTGATTTTAATCTTTATTTAGGATTCACTTGTAGCTAATATTGTTTAAATTCTCTATGCCTCCTTATTTTCCTCCCCCCTCTCTTCCTTCTGTCAGCCCTTCATCCATTTGCCTTAAAGGCCCAGGGTGGATGAGTCAGTGGCTCCAATCTGTATTTGCTTAGATACCAACTCCCTTTTAGGCATAGCATTATCATGCTTTATCTCAGTAGGTAGTCATGCTTTTTGAACAATTTTGACATCTGGAACTTTCTTTTATTAGATGTAGACTGCTGCATTCCTTTCTATATCAAAAAAAAAAAAAAAAAAAGGCATGATCTCTGGGTATACTTTTTTAAAAAATCCAAGACACAACCCAGTTCTTGGCTCCACAGACCTCACCAATCCAATGAATAGACCAACTGGTTTAAGCTTGTGTGGATCCCTCACTTTCTTGTCTATTTCTTGGTTGTTCCTTCATCTGTAGCCACTGGAACAGGGGTCTCCTTGCCTTCCTGCCTCTCCCCGGTCCTCACCTGCTGTGCACAGCCAGGAAACCCTGAACACCGGCCCTGCCAGACCTTGCGGCTCTGACTTTTACCTTGTGTGACTTGACAGTTTGGAGGGATATTAAAAGTGTGTCTCTCCCTTGGCAATAGTATGTCTCTCTCCTTGTCTCTCCTAAAGAACAAACTGCAGATATTTGGAGTAAGAAAGACTGAAAAGCCAAAATACCTGATGAGAAGCAGACCTTTCATGCTGCCACCACAGCAACAGCAGAGTGCTTGAGCAGACACAAGATGTTTCTGATGCACCCTAAATGCCACTTTTGCTTGATGCTCTGGAGCTGCAACCACATGCCCAGATAAGGGGTGTCTCACTTGGAGGACATGGGGAGGGAAGGAACATTTTTCACCCTTCTTAATTCTCTCTTCATCTGTCAAGCTGGGAGAAACCTGGAAGGGGAACACATGATGGTATTGTTCAGTGTTAATTCTTTTCTAATTAGCCAGAGTATTGAAAATGCTTCTGTCTCTTTAAAATGATGTGGTATTTTTTGCTGTGGCTACTACCAAACGTGAAGTTATTTGAGTGAACAGAATGACTTCATGTGTGTTGAGGTGTGAGGTGACCTCATTATTCCTAAATCTATTCCTGTTTTGTAGCACTCCTTATTCAGCTCCACTCTTTCAGCTGCTCAAGTGTTTTTATTTCTGCTCTGGTTGCGTAACAGATTTTTTTTGAAATGTCAGAATCATGGCAACATAAGTTGGTTATGTTGAACCAACCTGGCAGAAATTTAGCTGCTTGTAGATAAGACAATAATAGAGCAATATTGAACAGGGTTTGTGGCTTAATAAGATAAGAAGCAACATTTAACAGGTTTTACTTTGATGGAACACTGTTGATTGATGCAAGACATGCTTCATTCCAACTGAGGCTTCTGGTAAAGACATTTAAACAATTATCATTTTGCCTTTGCTTGCATGAAGTCAGCACTTCAGAGAAGTATTGTGTTGAAAACTCTGACAAATGGTATTCCTTGTCTGCCTTCAGAAGGGAGTGTCATGGGGAGCGTTACGTATGCACTCTGCAGTCTATGCTTGCTCCAGGGCAGAGGTGCACACCTCCAGGGGGGTGCTGCTCCCTTCACCCCTTTATTGCTTTTGCTGAGGACTGTGCTGCTGGAACTGTCATCTGAAAATGGAGCACCTGTCCACTCTCAAGGAAACAGAAGAAGTCTTTCTCAAAGCTCGCTCAGTGGGCTCCAGGCAGCCTCGCTAGTTGTACTTAGAAGAGTTTGTTTGCCATACATTGACAGGTTTTTTAAGCTAACTTGAAAGTTTACCATTCAGACCTCCAACATTAAAAGGGCACATGAGAAATAAGATTCCAACTACGCTGCTTGAGAACTCTCTCTCACCTCCTGAGTAGTTCCTGTGGGACGTGTTTCTCTAAATAATGCATCCCACCTTTTGTACAATTAACCGCTCATTTGAAACTTCCTGGCTCCAGTGGTTTTTGCCTGCTTTCATTCTCTGCCACTCTCTCTTGATTTCTTTTACTAGCTTCAGTATTCTCTGCTGACTGCATGTAGCTTTGGAGCACTTGTGTGAGTTGGTGATCTGTTGGGTTTTTAACAAGCAGGTAAGTTTTCTGACAAAATGTGCTTCCTGAGTTAAAGATTTATGCCAAATCTGTGCTTGCATTAATAACCTCCATATCTACAATTATATATAACAAGCTTTTATAAGTCCCACTGCCTCCATTTTCCATTGCATTAAAAAAAAATCGAGATGAAATTTGAGGTAAACTAAGCTGGCAAGAGGATGCAAAAATTTCAGTTTGGCATCATGCATGGCATTGTTACCCATTCAGGGAAAACAAAGACCTTTTAAATGTCTACTGCATTAAACTTTGTAGCTATTAAAACCTATTTTCATGTAAGAAAATTGAAGGAAAATACTTTTTCTCTTTAAACTTTGCATTGTTTGATTTTGTCACTTCACCTTTTAATCCTCTTTCATTTGATGTTTTGATGTGTAACAGAAGCTTATGTTTCTATTTTCATCTCTGCTTAAACAAAGAAAGGCTGTGACACTGGGTGCAGGTAGTTTGGGTGTGACTGAGATGAAGCTGATATCAGGGAGTTATTAGGGAGAGTAGCTTCTGCCTCTTCATTACCAGATTGTCCACCACTTTTTTTCATGCTTGCTGTCTGAGTGATGCTGCTTCCCTGCTGCTGGTACAAAAGGTCCTTTGATAACCTTGTGTGACAATTAAACACTACTAATTGTCCTCAGCTAGGAGGCTGTTCTGTGGCCATTCATGCACCTCCAACTGTGATGCTAGATTAGGCAGTGCCTCTAGAAGGGGTCCCTCTCAACACCTGTGCTTTTCAGCACTGCAATATTCAACTGTTGGTCCCCAAGTTGAATCTTAGTCATGGGGTTTGGAGTGCAAAGGACCTGAATAGCCACAGAATGTGCTCAGGGCAGTGACCACATCTGAGTCCAGGAAGTGTTTGCTCAGGTACCGGTGTAGCCTTTCTAATGGTCCTGAGCCCTGTTGTAAACTCTTGTGGTCTTAATTAACCCTGGCTTGCTGGATATTTTGGAGGGAGGCTAGATCCAGTGTTGTGCTGCAAAAGGAAGGCTGGCTGAAGTGATTTATTTGCTGAAGAGAATCTTGGTCTGTCAGCTGTTGGAGTGAAGAAAGTAGGCCTTATAGATGGGTCAAAAAGCCATGTATTTTGTCAGACCAGAGCAATTTCATCTTTCTATTCTCCTTTTTTTTTTTAAGCTCTTCTTAATTAAAAATTAAATTGGGTGAAAGTCATTCTCTTGGTTTCTGAGAATGTATCATTAGTGAAATAGAATGTGTCCCTAAAGAAAGAAGTTACTGAAGTCATTATTACACATAAGTCTTGGTATATCTGCCAAAACAAGTCTGTATGATATACCTCAGAGGAGAAAGCAACAGGGGGATATTACTCTCAAGCTCTTTATTTTATCTTCTCTCATTTCCAGTTCAATCCCATTTGTTTGTGTTTAGGGGGATTATTCTGTATGTCAGTATTTGCAGTGCTTAGAAGAAAAGGGACTGTTAAGCAGCCTGGGATTCCTCAATGTCTCTCCACAAATACTGTTTTTAATTGACACAGAGGGAGATTTCAGAAATCAGATACTATTAAATGCACTGTGTACAATAGATTAATTAAAATTCCTCTCTGTTGAAGGCTTTATCTTACTTCAAGAGTCTCTGCAATTGATATGAAAGTGTTAAGGACCTCTGTTGAAACTAGATGACAACCAGAAACTTTCGTTTTACATAGAGGAAGCACAATTTCATCTACATCTTAAATTTTATAGGAAACTTTTTGGTCTAAACACTTTTGAGATATGAAGGCCTAAGCTTAGCAAAGCTTAGCAACTTGCTCCTGGCCTTTGGGTAAAACTTGTAAGACATGATTTTGAACACCAAGCAAGATCCGAAAAGGCATCACTAAAATATTAATTTCCTGTAGATGATTTTACTGCATGATAAGCTACCTGGTTCCCAGGAGATTTGAAAATCAGATCTCCCATTTCTCTGCCAAACTACAGATGTGAGAGCATGGCTTCACTGGGTATATCTTCCCTTAAGCCCTGGTTGCTAAGGTCTGTTTGTGGAAGAGTGCCACCTTTGTGGAAGGAACTACTGGGGCCATGGGAAGTTTTACCCTGAGCACAAAGTAGGATTTAGCTCAGCCAGTGTTGACTGAGAACTGCATAATGAAGCTCTTTTAGGATTTATTCAAAACTTTATTGCTTTCTAAGAGGAATTTGCATCATTGTTGCTTCTTTCATGAGAAATAATATAGACTGCTTATGCTTTCATGGTACTACAGGAGATGCTTCAGGAAATACTGGTGTCTAGCATAAATTTTTTTGGAAAATGCAGCCTCCAGATGTCATGGCAGTTATTGACATTAAACTGTTCTTGTGTAGATAAAAACATGCATAATATAATATCAGGATTTTTCTTACTTTTTAGAAACCACTACTGTTATTCATAGCACCTATAAAGTGTTGCCTAGTAGTCCCAGTTCACTATATTGCCCTTGTGGGAAAGTAATGCTATTTTTGGCTTTGTGGTTGGGGAAGACTGAGCAAAAAGCTGTTGTATAAACTAATGTACCAAATGAAAGATCAGCTGGGAAGTCTTGTCTATCAATCTGAAATCATCTTGGCTGCTGCCAGTTGATATCTCTCTTAGCATTTTCCACAGGGAAAATGCTAAATAAGAACCGAGTGCTGAAATACATGCCCAGCCTAATTTGTAAGGCTGTTCCTACAGACTTCCTATCACATTACAATATGTCCGTCAGAGTTCTCTCTAAAATCACAACAAAAATGCCCAAACAAGTCCTTCTCTTTGGTGATTTCATGGCTTCTGTTTCTTCCTCAGAGAAGACCAAGTCTGAAGTTTCTCTGACATCGTCTGAAATTGTAGGCATGATCAATTTGTTTAAGAAACCTTGTAAGTACTTGACTGCTGGAGCACACGATGTCCTGTCATTCAAAAGCTCACTGTTAAGTTTCTGTGGCTTAGTCTGGAGCATTTCCAGCGGGGAGCTGGCTGAGGGGGAAATGTGCTGTGCTTCTTGTTTTTGAGTAGGAGCTGCTGCTAATGTATGTGCTGCTTTTGTCCATTTCTATGGCAGGTAGAATAAACAGTGTACATGTGAAGCACAGTCAAATTCAAACCAGAGAGGTTATTCTGGTTAATGCTTTTGCCCTGAGGCATGACTTGGGGATTTCTGCTCCACTGTGGGAAACTTTACTCCTCCATTTGTGTTATGTCAGATGCTGTGCTTTACCATGCCTTTTGAAACGGTCCTTTTAACTGAAGAAAGTTTGGAATTTATGGATTTAAATTTTTAAGTAAATAGAAAAATACATGCTTTTTTTATGGTCATCTGGATTATTTTTCAAAGTTGTCAGAAAGTTTGCTATTTTAAAGCTTACTACTGTAGTTTTAATTTTGATGAGTTTTCCTATGTCAGTTCTCAAATATCTTTCAGTTGCTCTGATACTGACTCAACATAATTCCATTTTTATTTTTTGCATTGGATTTGCAGGGATGCTTTGACAAATTCAGAATTTATTTGAGCTAAATGTGAATGGACTGAAGCAGTGTAAAGTTTGTACTTCAGTGTAAATAGCAAGCATGCTGTCAAATAATGGTGTTGGATTCATGTAGTGATGTCCTGTTCACCTGTTTGTTTGGGGGCTTGGGGAGGGGGGATTTTGAGGACAAGGAGCCATCCAAGGTGTTTATAATAAACAAGACTTGCTTTTGCTATGACATGATGGTTAACACTGTAATATGACTAAAGCTTTAGTCTGTTTTCAGATTTCCTCATTATGTATGTATTCCAGTTCAGAAGTAAATGGTGCCTCTGTTTCCACTGGATTGCATGATGTTCTGCATGAGCTTGTGGTACTGAAAAGGCAGTAAGGGGGGAAGGATCCTCACTTGGTCACCAAGTGCCCTTCGGAGCAAGGCATGAAGCCTCCCTGCCACTGTATCACTGTCACAGTCACGTTGAATGCTCTCCCAGGGAAAGAAAGGAGAAAGAAAGGAATGATAAAAAAGCCTTTACTTGTCAACAATTTATTTAATTAGCTCCAATTACAGATTTAAATGATGGAAGTAGTAAGAAAACTTACTTTGCATGTACTGCTGAGGAATTCACGTAGGAAGAAGAGACACAAGTGTTTGAAATACCTGGCTAGCTCTCTGTTGTCATCTGTTAATAATTCACATGGCTCTTTCATTTCTATTTTGTTGAGAAAAAGAGAGTAGGCTTGACACAAAGAAGCTCTTAACTTCCTCTGTAAAGGAGTGGGAGTACAGCATGTCCATTCAGTACAAAGAAAAGAATTTACTTTTGTGGAGTTTTCAGACTTTTTTAGTTTTCTTTTTGTTTTTAGTTTTCTTCACCAGTGGACTATGGGAAGGAAACTGTTTCTCATGTGGCTTTTACACTTGTGTTAGCTATTGTTAGTTAAGCCATAACTGAGCTGCAAATTCCAGGCCCAGACTTTCACAGAATTTGGTGCCTGCTTTTATAGGGAATCATTTGCTCTACAGTTACCACCAAATAAAATGGTGCATTGCAGTCTTGCCCTCTACTGAGTTTGTGGTGGATCTCTGTAGAGCACTACCACAGAGGCTCAAAAAGCCCTGGCAGACAGTTGCAGGGGATGAGTCTGATTCAATGTCATTGTGACACTTCTCTGAAAGCTGCTGTCCTAGGAAACCTTTGCCTGTAACCACTGCCTTGTGTAATTGAAAAAGGATTAGCTAAATTACATATGTTTTCTCTGAGGGTACTTGTGTTTCATGGATGGGATTAAAAGAAGAAAGGTAGAGAATATCTACAGTTTGCCAGCATTCCAGCTGGAGTGATGACATTTCTGCATGCTTTGGTGGTCTTGTTCACAGAACTTGCTTCCCTGCTAGGGCTTTATTTTGTCTTTAAGTCTCTTTTCTATCCTAGTATGTTCAATGGTTTCTGAACTCCCTTCTGCTCTACAAACTTATCCTGGGTAAAGCACAAGTTTTGAAAATATTATGCAATTAAATTCTTGTCGGTAATATCTTACCTGAGATGTGTATTTGTTTCTGTTTCCCTAAGAAGGATACATTTTATAAAGAGGTGAGTATTTTATAAAAATTAAGTAAAGAGGTAAGAGACTTACCTGCATAAGTATTAGTAGAAATTAAAAAGGTGAGAATGTGAACACAGCTGATTTATTTATCCAAAATCTCTCTACTTAGAATAATAATGCTTTCTATAGATGGAACATGAACTTTTAATAGCTTATGGGTGGAGACAGACACTTATTGTCTCACCTGGTCTTTTGTAATGAAGGCATTCATTATTTTTGTCCTTTAATGTTTCTTTGAGAAAAGCTGGAATGTATGATCTGCCTGCCTGTCCCCATGGGTCAGGACTGAATTGCAAATTACTCCTCTGGTGCTTGTGCAGACTGGCTTCTGTTGGAAATGTGATACTCAGCTACGTGGAATTCTTGTCTGTACCAACCTTGCCATGTCTGCATTCATTTTTCCTAAATTACTAAACAACTTACACTTAATGAGTTGCAACTAATTAGTACCTCTTGCTTTGCTATACCTGTAAAATTATACTTCCAGTAAAATGCTTCATGAACTAATTAGATATCTCAACCCAGTTGACTTTTGTCCTCTTGTTTACTGGCTTCTTACTAGATAGTGAGATTAAAATCTTGTCGTCTTACTTCAAAGATGCAATCTCTTCATGTTCTTCTCCCATTACAGACTACATTTAATTCTTATTCTGGAATGCTGTTTCCCTAAATGAGGTGTCCTCTTTATCCTGTGGAGCAGAGTGCCTGTCCCATTTCACAGCATAGCCCAGAGCAGGGATGACCAGCTGCTCTGTGGCTACACTTGCCCCAGGTGATGAGGATAATAAGAGGCTGACACTGCAGAGGGTGCTTGGGGTATCCTGCAGAACAGGTACAGACAAACCTTACCAGTCTGGTGGCATGGTCCAGCAGGGCAGGGACACACAGCTGTTCTCAGTGAGGTCAGCTCCTCAGCACTTACAAGCTGTGGCATGGAGCCCATTCCAGCAGGGGAGAGCAAGGTCCTGGTTTGGCTAGGCTGCCTTGGTGGCTGTGGCCTTGCCCTTGAACACCTTGAGGGTCTTACAACCATCTTGTTTTTCCCCACTGTGGATCTTTCAACAAAAACTGTTTTCAGTAAAAGAAACAAAGCAAAGTAAGCCCCCTTCCTGCTTCAGTTAGGGCTGCATCTGGTGGAGACCAAGTAATGCTGGTGATGCCTCAGTGTGTGTTCCTCAGGACAGAGGTCTTCAGAGCTGCTACTTGGGATCCCGCTGTGCTGTAAGCACTGTGTTTCCACCACAGCTGCAAAGGGTGATGTCCTTCAGAGAGTTGGTTTCTTGGAGGCTCTGACGACTTTCCTATGGGAAGTTTTGTGGCAGACAGTTTAAGTAAACATTTGCTATTACAAGGAAGCAACACAGAATGCTGTATCTTCTGATCCTTCCTAGGACCTTGCACGCATTTGAACGGCCATGCTTTCTGCCCCCTTTCTTGGTCCCAGCTAATTTCAAATCCTTTGGCCAAGGGGCTTTTGGCCTCCCCTAAGAGTGATGTGCAGTGTATGAGGTGTCCATGCAGCAGTGGCCTGCCTTAAGTGCTGCCAGGCTGAAACACTGGGCAGCTGGCAAGGCCTGCAGCTGGCTATCATTGCATGGATGTACAGATCCCCAAGGCACCATGAGGAGGAGCAGATACAGGTAGATAGCCCATTTCAGCTTCTATCAGGGCCCCCTTGCACCTTGTTCAGAATGTTTAATTTAAGTAAAACTGGTGAAAACACTTCCCTCTGCTTTTAGACAAACTTAGTAAAAGTATTGCAGTATTTTAAAAAGCCATTGAAGTAGCTGTTTATTGCAAAGTAGCGGCGGCTGCAGCCAGGTGGGGGTGGGTCTCTTCTCCCAGGCAACCAGTGACAGGACAAGAGGACAGTCTTAAGCTGCACCAGGGGAGGTTTTAACTGGACATTAGGAAGAAGTTCTTCACAGAAGGGTTAGTTGGGCATTGAATGGGCTGTTTGGGGAGGTAATGGAGTCACTATTCCTGGAGGTGTCAAGGAAAAGACTAAATGTGGCACTTAGCGCCAAGGCCTAGTTGACAAGGTGGTGTTAGGCCATAGGCCAGACTTGATGGTCTCAAAGGTCCTCTCCAACCTAAATGATTCTCTGATTCTGCAAAATCTCACCACTCTCTTATTTTCTCTTGTTTGATTAAGTGGCTATCCAGATACTATCTGGATTGCCCTACTGTTAGTGAAGCATTAGGACACAATGTGGGTGGTGCCCTTACAGGAATCTGTTTACCAAACCCAAGTACAGATATTTTAACATTTTTTAGTCACATGTTTGACTGTGATTTCTGAACTGGTATATTAAAAGTAAGTAGCAGCTGCCCTCCTGTTAATGAATACATTTCAATATATATATAATGCTTGGTATGCATTCTTTCAAACGTTTTTTTCCAAATTCGTCAGTGATCTGCTGTATGCAAGTACAGGATAAATTTTATGTACATGTAAGTTTTTGCACTAATTTTAATTCAACATTTGTTTGAAGATCAATAAACCAGTGATTTCTCAAGTGATGCAGCAGATCCGTTGCCATTAGCTAATTTTCAGTTTACAGTCTGAAACACTTAAACTCAAACTGTGCAAGTTCATCAGCCAGAAAGCACATATGTGTAGTATTAACTGTGACCAAAGCAGAATACATTGCTTTTGTTCAGTCATGTTTTCTGGTCACACAGTATGAACATTCTGTATCCTGTAACATATATGTCATCCCTCTACCATCAGATAGAGACATACCTGGTAAGTCAAGCCAAACTAAAACTCAGAATATTTGGAGAGTGTCCTATTTTTTT